AAATCGGATGAAAAGCATGCGAAAGATACTAAAAAGAAGGTGAAGACCGATGACAAGAAAGTCAAAGCTAATGAGCAAAAAGATAAAAACGTAGAAAAGAAAGAGAAAGTTCAAGAAAAGCAGAAGAAAAAACAAGCTGTGATAGGAAAAAAGGCTCAATATTAAAAAAGGGAAGGAAAGAAGATAAATTGTGAAGAAGCTTGAATACCATAAATTAGATTAATGATTAAAATTCCTATTTGAAGCCTTAGTCAAATACTTCATAATTGTTAATATTAATTTGTAAAATCTCGATAGAATTTAATCTAATTATAGATTTATACGTTATATTACTCTTATGTAATCTAATTCTCTTAATAAATTTTGTATATTGCCAGTTACATACCAAACAAATGATTACATTATTAGGGTTCTGTTACAATTTTCTAAAAGCCACATCACTAATAATCATTTCACCTACAAATTTTCTACAATGATATAATACTCTATTATATATTGTTATAATATTAGGGAGATGTACAAAATACTTTAAATTTCTGTATATTTGTACATCACTAGTGTAATAGGTGGCGTTTCTCGCCACCCAGGGTTGGACATTTATTCATTGAAACGAATGTAGAACAATTCCATTGAAATTGCTCCATTGATAATAATTTCTGAACGAAGCCTACCAACATTGATCCGTTTGACTTGCTTTTTTTAAATAGATCAAGCTGTCAATATATGAGGTTAGAGATTAGAACCTTTTTCACCGGCTTCGTTAAATTTTTCTATTGGAGCCGTTGGCTCCATTGGTTCCATTCACTCCATTGGCTCTATTCACTCCACCGGTTATTTTCTCAATGGAGCGCCACTCATCTTATTTAGTAATTTTTTTTGACCATAATAGGTCTTACTAACTATTGCAGTATATATAATATGTAGTTAAATAGTTTGCATTATACCTATTATAATTTCTACTACAGTCGTCCTCCCCTATAATCACACAGATGGCACGTACCTATCTGGTGATAGTATAGAGGTGTGACTATATAAAAGTACTTCTATATAATTACATTATATAAAATTATAAATAAAGAAGTAATTATAAATTATTTAATTAATAA